ATCATGCTCAACCTCATCCAATTGCTCATTATCATTATCATCATCGTCGTCATTGGTGCCACTGTCACTGTCGGTATCGCTGTTGTAATCTTTGTAATTGCAATTATTACGAAAACCACCATTAACGATTTCATAATAAGCATCAACGTCACTGTAAACATTAAAAGGAGTCTTCATTATTTTCGTTATCGTTCTCAAAACCATAATAAATACATTTTTACCATTTGTCACTAATAGGTGAACAGCCCAGTGATTTTGGAGAAGTTGATCAAGATCTACTTCAACCTTACACAGGCTAACCAGCGCGTCAGAGAACGGTTTGGGGATGCAGTTATCGATATTCCAGGACATGAAACAATACTCAGACCGAAAAAAACACTACAAAAATTGTGTGATCATTTAGGTGTGACATGTACAGAGGACTACGTAGAAAAATGCAGTAAGATCTTGTATGGATCTCCTTCTGTCACAAGAGATAAAATTGTTTGGACTGAAGAACAAAAACAGCGGGTCACCGAGCTGATGAAAAAATATTTGTTTCTAAGAGACTTTTCGTTTGACGATTTCCTATCTTAAACTCACAGGTAGCAGCCGCAGAATAATTTTCAAGTTTGCGTTTAAAATTAGGTTTCATTGGGCTTGCATCCCTACTCCCTGCGATTTTACTAGAAAAACGTTACTAATCAGCCAAGCACATGCTTTTTTCCGACAAGTTAACCAATCAGATTTATTTATCTATATATCGCCGTACCAAAGGCACTGGAGGATTTGCCAGTCCTCCCATCCTCCCCTATTGCCTCTTGAGCCTTAATCTGACAGTTAGCTGCTAACCTTTTCTTTCCCATGTTGTGATCGTTCTGAACAATACAGTGACTCCTCAGTTAACAGTTGGCTTAAAAACAAGCTACACGATGTTTTAAGTCAATTAATGAACGCCTAACTACCTCATTTTGAAAGAAGCTTTTAAATATAAGTTCGTTACGATATAACAACGCAAAATAAGCAACAGTGGACGAAGAAGGTGTATGGTTATTTAACCCCTTAACTCCCAAGATCTGATTGTGAATTCTTCCATTAAGGTATAACACTTTTCCTTATGAATTAGTTACGAGAACTTGGTGCTAGATCAGGATAACAACTTCTACCTGGTAAGTTTGAGTACTCTCATAACCGGTTTTCTGGATTTTGTATGGATATATCATAGACAGAAGTTACATTTTAATCAACTCTGGGAGTTCAGGGTTAAGGAAAAAGGGATTGTAAATTTTGACCTAAAAAGTAACGAAGCCTAACTTTTAATTTACACAAACCATGTGGCAGATCTTTCAATTTTTAACCATTCATATTACTTTTTTTTCGGTTTAGCGCCAATCCAACGCGCACCAGTCCACACCGTGCCAATTCACTGCAAGTCAATCCAGAGCGAGCCAATCCAAACCGAGGCTATTAGTGATCAAAGCCCAGACCCTTTCTATAACATTTTCGAGTAACTCCCAGACACCGACGATTGTGACGACACGACTGAATGCCGTTGCAGGGAGGTGTGAAGAATATACAACAATACCACCTACCTATTATTTCTAATAATGCCGTTTAGTTTATCGTCATTCGAATATATTATCCCAGGGTACGGCACATTTCAATCAACAAGTCTGTCGTAATTTTTTTAGTGATTTTTGCAGGTACACTTTGAAAGCCTCAGAGGTCCACTAAGGACATACTAGATGTATCCTCCAATATGTTTAAAAAGCTTAATTTACTAGAAGTAAGTCTGAACCATTCTTAAACATGTAAGCAAAGTTCTCTATGCGTCATCGGGGAAATAACAGGCATTTTTTTCCTTGTTTTACATTCCCCTTTGGCTAAAGACTAATATCTTAATGTTTGGAAACGGGAAACTTGTTAAGAAAACTTTTTAATGATGCAATTGAATTCCTCCACGTGCAAATGACTTTATCAGGGCTCTTGCTCAGGGGACTGGTTAAAGAACAATTTAGTCAAGTATGAAACAAATTGTGTGAAAATAGAAATATATTTCTTTTTATGCGCGTGCAGTTGCAATGTAGCGAGTTGCGTTGCCTAGAAACTTGACGTACTCCTGAATAAACGTGTCCTGATTAATGCGAACACCGATCAGGTGTTGAGTAAAAGACTATTAAGGCAAACATTTTGTGGCATTTTTTTTTTCATCCCGTATTGGCGATTTTTCTTTTAATCAAGCAGAACAAAATTAACGAGGAAAGGAATTTTCAAACTCCATGAGTTTATACAGAGGAATGTTGTACTGGACATAATTAATAAATATATATTCCGAGTGCGTTCAAAGTTGACAAATATGAATTGTGGCTTTAATTCCCAAGTGAAATTTTTAATTTGACTGAGGATGATAAATTTGCCCAGCATTTACTTTAAAGGAGTTATTTTCCTAAGAGAACCCTATTTTTTGCGGATCGAGGGCAACATGAAAAATAACTGCAAAAAGATTAAACTTCCAAAATTTTCAGGCTATCATAGGTGCCTGAATCCATCACTACAGAAAATCTTTTGACCGAAGTCAAATTTAAGTTTATTAATTTAAATTTCCATTTATTTCAACATCTTTACATCCTCAGGTTGGTTATAGTTGAAGTATAATCATAATAATAATCCTCTAATCGCTCTGACGAAGGGCTAACGCTCGATACGTCAGCTTTTTTACCCTTTACGGTGGCTAATTTACGTTTTCAACCCAGTTGTTAACACTAAATTACCTGCTATACTCTCCCACCGACGCAGCACCACAGTTTCTTTAAAAACTTACCCCTTTATTATAGTTGAATTATAGCTTACCTCTTTCTCTCCTACGAGTGTTCATTACGTAAAATCTCCCAACAGTTCTGATACACATTCCAACAGAGAGGTTATGAGAATTGTCACAATAATCAACGGAGGATATAGATAACCTTCACGTAAATTCCAATTTTTATAAAGCTACTGTAGCTTGAAAAGAATTGTGGAGTCATCTTTCGGGAGAATTGACTCTCAAGGAGTGAAAGACTTATAACCCATCCAGCAAATCAACCATATTTAGTTTAACCAGGTTTAACTGGATGAAAATCAAAAATAGAAAACTGAAAGACTAAGTTTTTTACATAGTGTTCAAGAAATCACCTTTACTTTCACTGCGCTAAAGATGAAGTCGACAAACATCAGTTTAAGTAGCTTCTATCAAGAACACAATTTGAATTGTGTTGGACAAAACAGGTACAGAAGTCGTTTTAGTTTTGGTGTAGATAG